AGGCAACGGATACTAGAGTTTGATAGCCGTAAATCAAAAATGGGTCGACTGTTCAACGCTGGTTCTTAGCCCATATTTGGGAGTCATCCTAGATCCTAGATAATTATCTCATTTGATCATCCTAGAAAATTAGCTGTCGAGGAGAAAAAGAATATTAGCTGAAAGGAAGAGAGGAAGAAATTGTGTGGAGAAATTGTGTAATCTTGAGAAGCCTGATGGTCTATTTGAATAGAATATGTATGGGAAATTACGAAAAAATGTTTAAATAAATAATCTTTTTTGTTTTTTTTCTTGCTGCAACAGGTATTACAATTGATAAATGACAAAATAAAACAAAAAAAACTTCACAAATAACTTATGTAATGATTAGATTTACAAGGCATACAATTAAAATATTTCAAACTTCATGGTTTTAAGAGGCAACGTTTGCTACGCATCAGATATAAATTATAAGTTCAAGTACTAAAGCATCGAATACAAATTATTAGACTGTATTATTAAGTTAACAAAAACTTTTGAATAAGTTTAACTATTTACTATCTAAGAACAGGACACGCAATAAAATTACGAGGGAAATTTTTATGATGAAATTAAATTTCATTAAAAACAACGCTTTAAAGTCACGAATAGTAAAAATTTATGAAATCCCTCCACGTGTTTCAATGTCCCAATGGCACACCATCATTACTATGATAAAAGACAGGAATGGCTTACGTCATAAAGGATATAAATATACAATTAAAAGAGCCAAAAAATTAAAAGAAATAATGATTTTCTAAGATTAGACAAATACGGTACAGCAGACCTCAATTATTTGTCTAATATATTGGAATGACTTAACTGCTGCACCATATTTGCCAAATTGTTACCCCTGTATCTAATAATCCAACTGCTAATGCTGTACCATATTTGTCAAATTGTTACCTCTGTACTTAATGATCGAACTGCTAATGCTACACCATATTTGTCAAATTGTTACCTCTGTACCTAATAATCCAACTGCTAATGCTGCACCATATTTGCCAAATTGTTACCGCTGTACCTAATAATCCAATTACTAATGCTGCACCATATTTGTCCAATTGTTACCTCTGTACCTAATGATCCAAATGCTAATGCTGCACCATATTTGTCAAATTGTTACCTCTGTACCTAATAATCTAACTGCTAATGCTGCTCCATATTTGTCAAATTGTTACCTCTGTACCTAATAATCCAACTGCTAATGCTACACCATATTTGTCAAATTGTTACCTCGGTACCTAATAATCCAACTGCTAATGCTGCACCATATTTGTCAAATTGTTACCTCTGTACTTAATAATCCAACTGCTAATGCTGCACCATATTTGTCAAATTGTTACCTCTGTACCTAATAATCGAGCTGCTAATGCTGCTCCATATTTGTCAAATTGTTACCTCTGTACCTAATGATCCAATTACTAATGCTGCACCATATTTGTCAAATTGTTACCTCCGTACCTAATAATCCAATTACTAATGCTGCACCATATTTGTCGAATTGTTACCTCTGAACCTAATAATCCAACTGCTAATGCTGTACCATTTTTCTATAATATTTTTTTTTATTCTCTTAGCGGTATAATTATATTTTTTAACTGTATATTTATCTCTTTTAGTATGACGCAACTTTCGCCGGATTCTTTAATCTCTGTGTTTGCTATTCTTGTGTTTTAAACCAACTGATGAAGGAGTACAACTGTGACATAGAAATACGTATAAATATTTAATAAAATTCTACTACTCGTGATTTTAAATCCTTGTTTTTAATGAAATTTAAGACGCAATCTTTAAAATTACCAAATTCCTTCATCGATGAATTTTATTTTTATGTTTCGTATTTTTAGCCATATCATCTATACTAATTACAAGAGATTACTAATTGAGATCTTTAAAAAATGCGATGACGAAATTTCCAAGTTTTTTTAAAAATTTATTCCAGGGTTAGTTATAGAAGCATATCGTTAAGACGATTCATCGTGATTGCAAAGCGAAAAAAAGTTTGGTAACAAAAATTCTATTAAAGTTATTTATGAGGTGTTTAAAAATGAATTTATCCACTGCACTTAATTACGACTGCACCACTCAAGATTCAACATTTTTTTTCTATCTTGTCATTTTCGCTCAACGTGGACTTTTTAAATAACTCCTTCATAATGAAAATAAAACAGCTTTTAAACATATTTTATAATTTTGCGCTACTTAATCATAATCAAACTAACTTTTGGCATGTTATAACTTTTGGCAATCATACTTTTAACGTTTGGCAGCTTAATCATAATCAAACTAACTTTTGTCTTCGAAAGAATATTGCATGGATATCCAAAAATTATGGAAATGGTAAAATATTTCAAGAAATACGCATCGGATAATAAAAAATTTAAAAACCTAGGTATGAAATATTTTAAAGCGATGCATTTAATGATATCAAACTGACTCCACCCAAGCTCTAGAGCAGTGTTTCTTAACCTGTGGTTCATGGACCCCTTAGGGGTCCATGGGTCATATTTTGGGGGTCCACCGACTACTCCTAATTTTTAAAACGTTTGGATCAATAATATTTAAATAGCATTGATCTTTTTTTCTTTCTAAGAGGTGAAAATACATACATATTTGAAACTAGGTGATCGAGATACCCCAAATTCAGTACGGACTGCACACAGCCCTCAAATATCCCTGTCATATTTTTAACATCCTCCACTTTCAGTTTGCACCATCAGGGGCAACCCCCTAATGACGTCCGCTGTACTATTTTTATTATCCCCTATCAAGCTACGTACATTTGACACCTTGTTCAGGTTACTAGATCTAGAATTTCTTACTAAGAAGAAAGCCCAGTTTTTGAAATCTGGAACATTAGACAAACTTGGATTTGGTATTCCACAAAAACCTCTGGTTGAGGCATCTCTCAAAGCTGCATATCATATTGCTAAAAGCAAGAAACCGCATACTATTGGAGAGGCGTTAATTAAGCCATGTCCACTGGAGATGGTTGAATTAGTTTGTAGATTGGAACAGAGAAAAAAACTTTAGGCAATTCCATTTTCAAATGATGTGACGCATTCAAGAATAGTTGAAATTTCTTGCAATATCTTGAAAAAGATCATCGATGAATAGTATGCAACTGGGTGAAACTACAGATATCTCGAATTATACTCAACTTCTTGTTTTAGTTCGTTACGTGTCTCTTGATACTATCAAAGAAGAATTCTTATTTTGTGAGTCTCTTTTGCAAACTACAAAGGCAGTTGATGTTTTAGCAATGTTAAATGTTTCCTTTACCAAACAAGACTTCGGCTGGAAAGAAAAACTTCATGCACTTCGTACAGATGGAGCACCTGTGATGCTTGGCAATAAATCTGGTTCTGCCCTGTTGGTAAAAAAAAAGTCTCCTAATGTTCTTGTTACTCATTGTTTTTTACATAAACATGCGCTGGCTACAAAAACTCTTCCAACCAGCTTAAAAGAAGCATTATCAAAAGTTATTAAAACTGTAAATTTTATTAGACGTAGAGCTCTTAATCATCGTCTCTTTAAAACGCTGTGTCAAGAAATGGACGCAGAACATGAGGTACTTCTGTACCACACGGAATTGCGCTGGCTGTCACGAGGGCAGGTTTTGAAACAATTTTTCATGTTGAAGATCGAATTATCACTTGTTCTAGAAGAAAAAGATAACTCATTCTTCGAATATTTAAACAAAAAAGATTTTACCTATAAATTGGCTTACCTGGCAGATAATTTTAACCACATGAACAATATAAGTCTTTTAATTCAAGGACCCGATATCACCATTATGGATGCAACTGAGAAATTACAAGCATTCTAATTGAAGATGCCACTTTGAAAAAAATAGAATTCAAAATGAGATATATGCAAACTTTTAAATGTTGGACGAAGTGCTTTCTGAAAATGGATCTTGGCAAGATAATTTGTTACTGAATAACTTAAAAATGAAATCTGTGAGCACCTGGAAGTGCTTCAAGTTTCATTGAAAAAATATTTTAAATTGGATGAGATAAAGATAAAAGATGAGTTGTGGATTCGTCATCCTTTTCCTTGTGATATTGACTGTATCGATGATATGAACCTTGCCAAAGATCAGCTTATAGATCTTAGAACAAAGTCCTTGCTAAAAATGGATTTCGATTCAAAAACACTCGGAGAGTTCTGGTCTTCAGTGAAAGAAGCCTACCCATTGCTTGTAAAGCAAGCGATTTCAGCTATAATTTCGTTAGCTACAGTGTATCTTAACGAAGCCGGACTTTCCACAGTTGTGACAATAAAAACAAAACATCGTTATCGATTGAATGTTGAACATGTTATGCTCGTTGCTTTGTCGAAAACCATCCCTCTATTCAATTTATTATTTAAGGAAAAGCAGCAGCAACCTTCAGACTAAATATTTTAATTTTAAATATTTTGTATACTATTGAAATAATAAAATTAAATGCTGAAATAAATAAAATACTAAAAATTGATGTTTTTTGCAATTTTTTTTTCTCAGGGGTGTGGTCCGTGACTTCTTAAAAAATTTTAAAAGGGGTCCATTGTATCAAAAAGGTTAAGAAACGCTGCTCTAGAGAGTTACCTCGACCTCAGCTGATATGGTGGAGTCAAGTTATGGTGCCAAATTGGTTATTTCAATATATCAACCATGTCTAGTTTTATTTTTCCGATCTGACATATATTTCTCAAGAAATCGCCAGATTCAACAATTTGTATCCGTTTTAGAATCCTGCCATCTGCGAACTGAAGGAATCGGAATCTGCAATGAAAACTGGCTGGCTCATCTTTAAGATTTTGAAATTGGTCTCCGTCTCAACATCACGGTGTGAGGCTGAGGGTTCATGTTTGAAATCATTGAGTGAATCTTTTGAAAATATTTCATGAATGCATTCTTAGATTTTGGCATTTTCCTTGCTTTTCAGACACCCCTGCATGATCTCCGCAAGAAAATAGGTTGACGAAAAGTTTGATGTTTATTTCGTTGGTAATTTGTAACTCATTAAATTGTGTTGAAGACTTTTTTTAACTAGGTTTGATCTGGAGATTAAGCTTGATTCAAAATCTATGATCTTACATTGATGTGCTTTGCATCTCTTTTCGTCATTTCTTTTCGCTCCATCCATTTTAATGGTATTTCTTTCAGTTCTTCAGGCTCATAAACTAACCGACACCTCCGTATTGCTTGTATGCCTCTTTCCCAATGCGGTTTCCATCCACTGTTTAGTACCTTCATTTAGAAAAAATAAAATATTCTAACATATCCAGGATAATAGGTTACTAAGCAAACTATTCTCAATTTAAATGGAAAAATCATATCATAGTTTGTTTAATTTAATTCCGGCATTCACTGAAAGTAATTATTTATATACTTACACTACAGAGATAGACAGTTCAAATTTGCATTTGCAGAAAGTTACGCAGTTTTCATCTAAATCCGCTGAAATATATGACTTTTATTTATTTTTATTTATATTTTTTTGCACGAAAATTTCTTGTGTTGAACATGAACTATTTAGAATGATGGCTGGGAATATTTCTTTAAAATTTGGTTATAATCAACAAGAGGGTTATTATGAGAACTCACCGAAGTTCTATTGTTTAAAAGTAGCACTGGGTAAGGGTTAAATCAGTATTTATTTTGATATTTTTGATAGACTCAAGATCGGAATTCTTTTTGCATTTGGTATGCTGGTAACAGAAAAAAGCAGTTTGTTAGTCAAATGAATTTCTTAGTAATCTGAATTTCACGAAATAGTTTTGATATAAAAGAAGAATCAGAAGTCATTGAAGTAAATATATGTTATGCAGCTTTTAAAACCATGGAACAGTTATTATTTTAACTAAATTGAAAAAAAAAATTCGATATTTGCCTCCCTGAAATTTCGATATCACGAAATTTCAACGTCTTTCTTGAGTTCGAGAGATAGAGGTTGGAATGACCTTTTTTTATTTTCATAAACTAGTTAACAAATGCTCTGTTTAGTATTTTTATGCGCTAAATCTTAAAATCAAGGTTCAAATTTCGAAGACTTCAATCAAATTTAATCAAATGCTGCCTACAGGAATAAGACAACGCATGCTTTTATGAAATCTCTTACAAATTCAGTTTCCCAAAATATATTAAAATTTTTAAACATACTTATTTTAAGTTGAACAGTTATACAATTCTGGCGTACCTGGAGAGTTAAAGCTGACGCTACCGCCTGAATGTCTTTTGGCAAATGATGTTTCCTAGCTGAGTGTTTCAATGGTTTCTGTATTACTTCAGACAAGCCTAGTTCCCTTAAAAATTTACCAGCCAATGTCCATAAGCGAACTGATCCTTTTTTTCCTGCCGTTATAACCATGGACTGTTCATTGCAGTAGCTGATTTTAAGAATGGGTCTCACATGAGCACGATAGCAGTTCAGCAAAATAGGCGCATAGCCAAGTTCAGCTCCACCATCAGCATCGAATTTTGAATATTCCCGGTGGTTCTTTTCTATCAGTTTCTGCATACGTAAGAAAGGATAATAACTCATATGGTGTTGTTTTGATTCACGAGAGTTTGCTGGCACGGAACCAAATGACGAATAATAATCTTCCAAATCATAGGTTCGCAAATATCCTTGAGTGTCACCTGTAAAGAAAAGAATTGCGACAAAATCTTTTGATTAAAATACATCTATAACTATTGCTATCCATTAAAAGAAAGGACTTGGGGTAATATAATTATAAATCACACTTTTCCAATAGTTCAGATAAGCGTTTGTGGTGCAAACTACCATGATTTTCATGTTGGTAATAAGATGTTTCTGTGCATTGTGCTGTCATCTATAAAAAGTTTTGAGAACTTGTGAAGCACCTATCTAGGTACAATAAGAAAAAGATTCGAAAATGCCACCTTTGCTAAAAGTGAGGATTATATTGCCCCAAGCCTTTCAAATCTTGCACTGATTACTTGTAACATTAAAATAAAAAAAATTATTTCTTATAATACAAATCACTCACTATAAAAATCAAAAATCAATGAAGTTCCAATAAATGTGAACCAATCAATATTGATGACATTGTGCAATCAGCTTAAAAGAAGTCTCAAATTTAAAGTAGAACTTCAAAGATTGACTCCCAATATCTTTAATCGACTGTGTTAAGTCATAAATATGAAGAGCTGATTGCAATAATGTAAAATACTTTGAAGTTTCAAGTTATTTTTAACTATCTCCGTTATTTTGTTACATGCCTTCGCTTCCTCTAATTAATGAGCAACTTAATTATTTTATATTTGCTTAATTTTATTCTCTTTTTCTGAATCGAAATAGATATTAAATATCTATGTAATAAAAACGTGATTTTTTTAAAGAATTGTTCGCGAATTAAAGGCATGTTTGTAATCAATTACTACTCCATAGTAAATACTGTCCGAATTAGTAGTAAATTAACATCAGAATCTCCTCCTATTTGCAGCCTCATATTTTTGCTCCTTGCTGTTGTGATAAACGTGAAAATTCATAAAGAAACACTATAAACAGAATTTTCGGTATTATAAAATAATAACAAAATCTTACAGATGTCCTGTTCTAAACCATTTAAACTCTTTTTTTGTGATAAATTTCAGCAGAAAAAAAGAAGAAAAATGTATATTTTGAGACACATTCATATGTAACACAATAATGACAATTTTGAGACAATAATTCATGTGAAACGCAAGCGTGTTGTGATACAAGATTTGAGATACAATTCTAAAACTGAAACTTTTTGTTTACGGCTGTTAGCGGTGCTATCAGGTGCTATACGCGAAAGGTTAATGAAATAGAAGCAAAAATAAATTGCAAATCTAAATTATTAAGTAGAAATGGAGTTAAATAATATGATTTAACATGGTACCTGAAAAGAGCACATCGTTCTTTTGATCAGTTTCGATGCAGAGAATAGCATCATATGGCCTGAAAACTGCTTTAAATCTAGACAGTAATCGCCACTGGTTCACTTTATTAGTGCTTATGACATTCCAAAAACGTATTTTCCCGTCCACTCCGCATGATACGAGATTCCCAACCGAATGTTCCATTTGTCGCGTTGACAAGTATAAAATTTGACTTATACCACATCTTTTCCGTTTGTTCACTTCAGATTTTGCCAGGTAAGTGCTATCAACTTCGTCTCCAGTGTTTGAAGCTGAAAATGACATAAAGAAATGAAAACTGAAAGGATGAAAGTGATAGATATGGTATTTTATACTGTGCAGATTTCTTAAATTTGTTTTTGGAATAAAATTAGAATATTAATAAACGTTTCCTGAAAATAAATGAATTTATTTAAGCTATTTACGGAAATTTTTGTTGGCATAGCGTAATAACTGAGTATTTCAACATAGCTACAGTATATGAAAATATTGCTTATGCATTTCGCTGCTCCTTCGGTATATCAATTGAAAGGCTTAATGTGAAATAATAGTAAGTCATATACTTTTTGGAAATGAATTTTCCTATCTTGACCAACTAATATATTGATTCGCAACTGAAGAAACAACACAAGTACTTCGCGATAAATTTCGAAAAAAAGAGGCTTCGCCGCTATTTTCTTTCTATTGTTAAAGCTTTGATCGCTGAAATAGAAATTCAGAAAAATGCATAAACAAAACTTAATTTAGAAAAGAAAAATAAATAATTTTTGAGCACGTAGCTGATCATACAAAAATGCCCAATATAGTAAAAATCTCAATCTTGAATTTTGTGTCGCTTGCGATGATTTTTCTGTCGCACAGCAGTATAAATAAAGTCAGATGTTACTTTTTCAAATGAATTTTCCAATTTCGGGCTACGCATCAAAGAATGATGAGTCACATAATTTTTATAAATTAATTTATTATCTTGAACCCGGAAAACAAATATAGATAAACCAATTTACTACATTTGGGGGCCCATCTTAGATTTGGCGATTTGTAAATAAACCTAGAGGCAATTACAAGACGGTAAACAAAAGTTACGATAACCTGAAAGTAACGTCACTGAAGGCAAAGATAGCAAAGAATACCATATCAACCAGAAATGGGGTTTCCGCAAAACTGAACGAAAACTATTGCAGAAGAAAGGGCACCAATTTTTATCCATATAAATTTCGAGGGTTTAGCAAGCAATGCAAATAAGTCATACATATTTTGCAAATGAATTTTCGTGTCTTTGGCTAGACAAAAAGTAGTGATCTGTCACATGTTTTTTTTAAAATTAATATTCGTATCTTACACTAGGCGGCAAGATAACGCACTTTTTTACAAATGAATTTTTCCTACCTTTGTCTAGAAGAAATCTGAAGCGGAGATAGTTCAATCAGTATTGTGAGATGCGTTGCATGATCTTTTTGCAAAATGTCAAGCCACTTCAGAATGAGAGCAGCAAGTAAAATTGACCCGATTAATGATTTAAACTATCTTAGTTTAATTCTTATGAACAGTGAAATCATATCGACATTCGATGATGGAAAATATAAACACAAAAGTGTCCTTAACCAAAATTCCAAAAAAGAAACTAGGCAAAGTAAAGTCATAATTCCTGAATACTCCTTTCTGGTATCAATGTTTTTACACCAACTTATATTCTGATTTTTGACCAAACATTCCTGAGAACAAAAAAAATTAAACCAGTAATTTGTTTACGATTGTTTTCTGAAAGTTTAATTTTAAGTATCCAAGTGAGGCACATCATTATAATTTTTTGTGGCTTATCATGTTATTTCACAGCGAATCATTCAACATTAATAGATCAAGTTGTCAAGTATAGTGTTTCATAGTTGCAGATAATGCTTTGATGAATCATTTAATTATTCATTAAATATATCAATTACCGTCAGCTTCATCCATCATGTGTAATTTCACATCGCCATTTTTCCACAACCATGCTACTATCTCACCATCACAAGATGCTGTAGCAAGAATATTTTTGGAGCAGCAAGCCATACTGATGACAGACTGCTTATGAACTCTCTTCCATTCTGCTCCTTCCAAGATGGTGTCACCGTCATCATAAAAACTAATAATCTGTCCAAGGGAACCACCAGCAAATATCTCAAAGCCTTCTGTTGTTAAGGATAGTACCCTGAACTTAGCATGAAATGAACGAAGACATATACCCAAATAAAAGTTCCACACTTTAATACTTCCATCTCGTCCTATTAAGAAAATATAAATATTAAAGCAAACTGCAGATGGGTTGACCAAATAAAAAATGGACGAGTATGTTAGCGTTAGAAATACGGCGCCATTTGTGTTGCCAAATGTATTGTATTTCTAACGCTAACGCCTTCTCCATAACCCTGAATAATGGCATTGCCTCCATTCAGCAATGGATTTATGTGAGATCATTAGATTTGCTTGGCCTAAATGATGGTAGATTTGATATCAATGATCGTCTTTCATGAATATTTTCAGACTATTTTTCCGAGCCGTTTTTCCAAAACAATGTTCTCTAGAAACCACAAGCAATCGCTAATAAATATCCTCATTTTGTTCATCTTTTGAAATTTGTATTACTGCGTGTTGCTTTATTTTGAATGCATCTACTCGAGCACAATTTTACATTCACTTCAAATTCTCTCATGTCTAATCTGTGGTGCAATTTTGTTTGTTACCTAAATTTAAAACCAGGGAGGGTGGCGCTGCTAACACTATTGTCGTTCTGATGCTATCCGGTATGTTATTTTTCATTTTAAAAATCCTTGCAAATTTAAAAAGTCAAATATAGCGCAGTTTTTTTAAAAAGTCATTAGATAATTGGGGCAATTCTCTGCCCTTAGCTTCAGAAATTTTTATCAGTAATAGTATTTGAGCACTATTTGAAAGCCTATTCTCAAAAGAATTTTTTATTTTTAAGAAAAGTATCTGTAACAGTTGTTCAGAGGAATTGAATTGAGAATGAAAAATACTATGCCATTATTACCCCCCTCAAAAAATTACATTTTCCAGTTCTATTAAAATCAGCGCTTAAAGAGTTCCTTAAAGATTATATAAATTACATAATTAAAGATATAAAACTGTTTAATTAATAATGACTTTATATTAAAATAGAACCTGATAAGAAATCAATTTTAAAATTTTTAATTTCTTTAAAATTAATGCAAATCGACCCCATAGCTCTAATAAGAACCATATAAATAAGGAATATATCCATTAAGTATGCTGCAAAGTTGACAGTATATATTTACAAGTATTACTCAACAGTTTTGTTTATTACACATTACTGTATTAAAAAAAGTTTAAATTCATCTATTGGAAAAAAGATTTTGATTTGTTTTAATTAATATGCATTAGACATATTATACTACACTGGTTATCATAAATTAAGGAAAATTCACAAAAATCGCGATAACTCAAGAAATTACACATGGAATTTTATGAAACTTACCCACAATATACAACACATAGTAAGGTATTAAACAACATAAAAAGAAATTATCAGACATTAATAGTAGTATAGAAATTAGCACATGTATAAAATAAACANATCTCAAAGCCTTCTGTTGTTAAGGATAGTACCCTGAACTTAGCATGAAATGAATGAAGACAAATACCCAAATAAAAGTTCCACACTTTAATGCTTCCATCTCGTCCTATTAAGAAAATATATATATTAAAGCAAACTGCATAAGGGTTGCTCAAATGAAAAATGGACAAGCATGTTAGCGTTAGAAATACTTTGCCATTGGTGGTGCCAAATGTATTGCACTCCTAAGGTTAACACTTCCTCCATAACCCTGAATAATGGCATTGCCACCATTCAGCAATGGATTAATGCGAGATCATAAGATTTGGTTGGCCTAAGTGATGGCAGATCTGATATCGATGAATGTCTTTCATGAATATTTTCACACTATTTTTCCGAGCCGTTTTTCCCTCTAGAAACCACAAACACTCGCTAATAAGTACACTCATTTTGTTCATCTTTTGAAATTTGTATTACTGCGTGTTGCTTTATTTTGAATGCATCGACTCGAGCACAACTTCACATTCACTTTAAATTCTCACATGTGAAATCTGTTGTGCAGTTTTTTTTTTAATCTAAATTTTAAACCAGGGAGGGTGGCGCTGTTAACACTATTGTCGTTCTGACGCTATCCGGTATGTTATTTTTCATTTGAAAAATCCTTGCAAATTTAAAAAAATAAAATATAGCATAGTTTTTTTTTAAAAAAAAAAGTTATTATATAATTGAGGCAATTCTATTACTCTAAGCTTTAGAAATTTTTATCAACAATAGTATTCGAGGACTATTTGAAAACAAATTCTCAAAAGAATTTTTATTTTTAATCAAAGTATATAATATCTGTAACAGTTGTTCAAAGGAATGGAATTGAGAATGAAACATACTATGCCATTATTACCGGAAAAAATATTACATTTTCCAGTTCTATTAAGATCAGCGCTTAAAGAGCTCTTTAAAAATTATATAAATTACATAATTAAAGTTATAAAACTGTTTAATTAATGATGACTTTATATTAAAATGGAACCTGATAAGAAATCATATTTAAAATTTTTTATTTCTGTAAAATTAATGCAAATCGACCCCATAGCTCTACAAGAAGTTACAAAGAACCATATAAATAAGGAATACATCCATTAAGAATGCTGCAAAGTTGACAGTACATATTTACAAGTATTACTCAACAGTTTTGTTTATTACACATTACTGTATTGAAAAAAGTTTAAATTCATCTATTGGAAAAAAGATTTTGATTTGTTTTAATTAATATGCATTAGACTATTTACCTTCAGTTTAATAGCTTTAGTTTTACTCATGTGTGCGAGGTGTCCTGTAATTTTTGCTTTTATATTTTCAAAATTTTTAAAAAAATTAAACATAAAGAAGTATAAAGAGTGTAAAGAAATTTATATAAAGAAAGACTGATATATTTAAGTCGAAAAAAAAAACTAAAAAGTATCAAAATCTAGCGATTACTGCTGAGAGCGGCAGCGTTAAAAAATCAAAATCCGTTTGATTGCAGGAGAACAAAGAGGAGTTAAAAGGTGATATTTTGAAACATGCTCAAGTTTCACTAGGTTATCATTAAAGTGTTGGTGTTTACCATTTCGCTCTCTAACTAGTGATGAGATAAATAGTGGTAGCGTTTTTGTTTCCTCCTTGGTTAAATATTCATTTGCAATCCATTATTTGTTTACTTCATTTTTAGCAAGGAATGATAAAATACAAATTAAGGGTAATCGTTAGTGAAATATCCACTGTGTTCATGTTTTTATGCTATTACCTGCTGTAATAAGTCTTTTTCCTGTAGGATCCAGAGTTGCTGAAGTCACTCTAATTGCTTTAATAAGACCATACCTGTTTTCGGTTTCATGCAAGTTTTTGAACTCGTTAATCAACTCATTGGTTTCAATTTTCCATACAGCAACTGATGAATCATTTCCAACTGTGACAAGACACTCAAATGGAGCGCTGTAGGCAACTAAAAGAATGAGATCACTCTCGGGATGTGCACTCGTCCGATTGGTGCGTTCAAAGATTTTTAATACTCCTACGCGATTGGAGGTCAAAATCAAACGTCCTAGAAAATAAAAAAGGAACGGCTGTAGAGTTTAAGTTTCAAAATACAGGTTAATTTTATTTTATAACCGATTTTGAACAGCCGATGTAATTCTGAGATTACATTTACCCATTTTTAACTTCGTATAGCCCTGTAATTTTTAACCTAACCTAGTAGACAAGGGGACTTCTGAATCAAGCATTGAGAGAAATTAGCCATCATGGAGGACTTTTAATTGGAACTAACCCGTATTTACGTTACACGGAGATTAGGATAACGAGAACCTCCTATAGTTACCCAGATAGCAAGGGGAATCTTACCCAGATACGTCTATCACTGAGGATATTTAATGTCAGCACTTTGGACGATGCAGAACTCATATCCACCAGCTATTGCTGGGATTAGGAGGTTATCGTTGGGAGGTTATCGTTTAATCCCCGGCTCATAAAAATACAGGGTTGGCCTGAATGATTTCAAAGGGTTATATTTACTAACAAGTAAGCGACGTACAAAGTTAGTTGATGCATGGAAAAATGCAGACACTCGTCAAGATTCTGTGTACCTACCACTAGTGTTCGATGTGTTAACAGACCTTCGACATCCCCTACACAACCCAGCCAGCTCCATCCATACTTTCAATTGCATGTTTCCATCCATGTCCGTCACAGCACTGCTGTGCAGTAGGAAAATCAACGTAAGCGACAAAAAAAAAAGAAAGAAAGAAAGAAAATTGAGATTTTTACATATTTGGAATCTTTCTACGATAAGCTACTAATTGCTAAAAAAATTGTTTTACAAATTTCTGAAATTCTATTTTTAGCTTTCATAGCATTAGTAAGGATAGGAAAATATTTGTCAAGCTACTTATCGCCTTATTTCGAAATCTATCGTAAAGCACTTACGTTTTTTTTCCAGTTGCACGGCAGAACAGCAGTGACGTATTTTTACAGCGTTTTTTTTAAATTTTATTTTACTTTAAAACCGGCGTTGAACAACCGACCCATTTCTGGGTTAACAACAATCAATGTTTAACACCATACTTTTGTATCCAACTCAGAAGACAATGCAATTCCAGGATTAGAACAAAACAGCCTCTGTGGAGGACTTTTTGGTGGAAAACCGCATTTTCGTTACACGGATAAGAAAACTACGAAACCCCAACGTCTAGTCCGATTACATAGGGATTGTAACTCATGATTCGTCTACTACTGAGGCTCTATAGTGGCTAACTTTTAACTGACAATTTAAGAATATTATAATACCAGTGTTGTGTAATATTCAATATTTAATCTCGGTATAAAAACTTTAGACATTAAATAAAAGTTAGAGGAAATGTAAAGTTTGTGTTTATACACAAGTTATCACGATTTTAAATATAATGATATCTCTCCCAAAAATAAACCAATCAATGTAGAAATTTGAATAATTTCTTAAATAATAATTGCAAAATATAACTGCAATATGTAAATTTGTGGCATATGTAAACAATGAAGTGACGTCAAAGAGCATAAAATTTCATGTTTGATCATAAGCCTGTGTTTCTGAAATTAGAAATTTGAGATAGATAAGTTCTATTACGTAACTTTTTGAGTAAGGTCATTTTTGTGATTTTTCCTTCATTCATGATAATCAGTGCATTATAAAACAAAAATTAAACTTTACTTGATTCACTTCGTTTTTATTCAAGTAAGAATTTTATTCACCAAAAAAAGCAAAAAAAACTGTTAAATTTAAGATATTAAGTAAAAAAAAAATGAATATATTCTGTATAAAAGTTTCATCAAAAAACTGCAGAGTAATTACTCTTACCAGTCTCAGAATCCATATAAATGGAAGACAGATTTTGTTTTCTGGGAAAGTCACTTTCTCTAAACTTCATTATTTGCAAGCAAGTTGGACTCATGAGATCCCATACCCGCATATTTTTGAATCTATCAATAGAGACTAAAATCAAACGGGTGTTATCAATGGCAACGTGAGATATTGATGTAACATGTCCGGTCAGAGTCTCCTATAAAGAAATAATTGTACGGTTTCTCATAAGAAACCATGTTAATTATATTTATCTATGCAAAGTAGACTTAAAAAAGCAACAGCAAGTTTACAATTTTCTTTTATTTAAAAAAAATGCTTAAAAACATTTAGAAACAAATTAGAATCATAGTGCCATGAACAAAATATTTTGTTACGAAAACAGTTACATTCTTTTTGTTGAATTACACGCAACAGGTTGTTACAGGATGGCAATAATCAGGATCAATAAAATGGCAGATATTATTTTATTTGGTATTGATGTCACTTTCTTCATTGGCGGCGCAACGTTTTGACTTATTTTATATCCTACCACTTACTTCAAAATAAAATTGCATATTTATTTTTAAAATTAATTGTAGATTTCTGAATCAAATTGTAAATTAGATATGTTAAAGTTAAAATGAAAGCGAAATCAAGTCTAGTCATACACATATTCTGATATTACTTCTTCTCTTGATTGTCGCCACTTTTTATTATTCCACCGATGGAATGACGTTCGCGTTGGTGCATTTTTGAACAAAAAATCTAACCCCAGTTACTCACATTCAGTCGTTAGCACAGTATGCATCAAATGTCATACGGAGGTGTAGGATGGTACGGTACCACGGCACCAGGCAAAGACCGATTAAAAAGAATAGGGTTTTGTAAAGAGTTCGAGGTAGGAGGTTAATATTAGGGGCATGGAATTTTAGTTCTGAAGATGCAAGCCTGACTAAAACTTTTGCTAGAGACTATTTTCATTAAAAATATGAACAATATTTTAAATATTAAGAGATGTTCTTGGTGACCAAAACCATAAAGTTGTAGTTATTTATGCCGAACTAGAACTGCACAATGGGATATTGGCGGCGGTCTGGGAAACATTCCTGAGGATAATCCGAAGACATGCCATCACAGTTTTGATCCCCTTGCGATGCTAATTTGAGCACTTTACGGTAGAAGAGTTCAACTGAGGTCGATACAGCAAATCCTCGGTCCCTTTAAACCCTGATCAAAGTGGTCACCCATCCGCACACTGACCTCAGTCAGTGATGATTGACTTCGGTGTTCTATTAGGATCTGTGTCTTACAATCAGTCCACTGTGGGACACCAAAACCATAAAATAACTAAAACAAGGAAACATATTTATTGCAAATGATAATATTAACTGAAGCAGGGTTCCCATAAGGTCAATATGTTTTTAATATCATCAACAAATTACTAAAAGTCATCAAAATAAGAAAAATATCAGAAATGTTTTGCATTGCTACCTTTCGGCACAAAAATAACGTATGTCAATTGCAGTCCTAGTGACAAACTCTATAACTTTCAAACTGTTGAACTAGACTCAAACTCTGTTACTTACTCTCTAGCCTTAAATATTTTATAGCCGATGGCGAGCTGGCTAGCAGAAATTTCATACCTAGGGATAATTACAGACATGTTATGTTAATTAACTCTAAAATTAATTATTTTAAAGAAAATTTAAACTTTTATCTTCAGATCTTTTTAAAAATAAAACCTCTGACTATTGTCCGCGTGTGTTAAACTTTGCATGTGCGTTGGAACATTGACGAACAATGGACTTCTTCGGCGATTCTTCAGCGAAATATTTTGGGGTTCATAAGCAGCTGGATAATACTTAAAAAGTGGCTATAATTTTAAGATAAAAATTTGTATTTCATTATGATTGCATCTACAGGAACTCTTAATAAATCTGATGAAATATATCGAGATCATCAGGTTTAGGTTTTCAATTAAAAAATGGAAAACCTTAAATATTGTAAGCTTCTTTGTAACAAAATTGATAACATAATTGATCCAGCTGTGCATAAGTCCTGATTTTTTTTGTGTCTCTTGAACCGACACCGGGATAAAGCTCTACTTTAACTTAAAATTAAGAAAGAAGAACTTTGAAGTACTTTTTCTTAGAAAAATACAAAATCTATTTCCAAAACAATATCCCGTCCTCAACCTCTTGCAATTCGAACTACGAAAATCTGCATGAAATCTGTAAAATAACTGCAAGCCAGCTAAGTGTTTTACGAGGAAAAAAATAAATTATAAATAAAACCTTCTGTAATTAAGCTGTGCTTTAAAAACCTTCAGGTGATCCAACTTTACGTATAAGAAAACGTATTTTTTGAATCTGAATTTTAATATAATTTTTAAATAACTGGAAATTTAAGAAATATTTTATCATACAAACTATTTTTATGTAAGTAAAAAATGAATGACTCTAAAATTTAAAACTATTTTTTAAAGTTTACATTATTAATTAAAAGAAGAATGGACAGTTTTGAAAATTGATTCAGTTTTTTTCCAGAGAAAATAGTACATCAATTTTTTTTTAAATTTTACTTACTGGGATATAATATTTTTTCCCATTAAAAATTTTTTGTTGTGTCTCTATTACAACTACACATGATTTCTATGTGAATTGACAAAATTTAATTTATAATTATTAACATAATGTATTTCGGCAGTTGTAACTATACTCACGTTACATGATTTGTTTACTGCTGGATTCCATATTTTAATAACATGATCAACAGTTCCAGTCACAATCCAGTTCAATTTTTCACAGAAATCGAAACATGTTACACCACCCTCTGTTGAGAAACTCAATGATTTGCCTTCACCAAGATGATGTATANATGCATACTAAGAGAGCTCTGTTAAACTTTGCATGTGCGTTGGAACATTGACGAACAATGGACTTCTTCGGCGATTATTCAGCGAAATATTTCGGGGTTCATACGCACCTGGATAATACTTAAAAAGTGGCTGTAATATTAAGATAAAAATGTGTATTTCAATATGATTGCATGTACAGGAACTTTTCATAAATCTGATATGAAATCTATCTATATCATCAGGTTTAAGTTTTCAACTCTAAAGTAGAAACCTTAAAAATTGTAAGCTTCTTTGTAACAAAATTGATAACATAATTGATCCAGCTATGCAAAGTCCTTTTTTTGTGTCGCTTGAATCGACATTGGGCTAAAGCTCTACCTTAACTTAAAATTTAAAAAAAACTTAGAAGTACTTTTTCTTAGAAATATACAGAATCGATTTCCAAAACACTATTCTCCCCAACCACTAGCAATTCGAACTACGAAATTCTGCATGAAATCTGTATAAGGTAATCTGTATAATGTATAAGGTAATCTGTATAATGTATAAGGCAATCTGTATAAGGTGCCTTAAGAACCTTCAGGTAATCTTACTTCACGCATATTAAGACGTATTTTTTAAATCTGAACTTTAATATAATTTTTTAAATAACTAGAAACTTAAGAAATATTTTGCCATGCAAACTATTTTTATGTAAGTAAAAAGTGAATGACTCAAAAATTAAATTTTTTTTGAAGTATACATCAGTAAAAGAAAAGAATGAACATTTTTGAAAATTGATTCAGTTTTTTTCCCAGAAGAAGTAGTACATAATTTTTTTTTCATTTCAATTGCTGGGGTGTAATATTTTTCCCATTAAAAATGTATTGTTGTGTCTCTATTACAGCTACGCATGATTTCTATAAGAATTAACAAAATTTAATTTATAATTAATAACAAATGTGTCATGTACTTTGGCAGATACTCACGTTACACGATTTGTTTACTGCTGGATTCCATATTTTAATGACATGATCAACAGTTCCAGTCACAATCCAGTTCAATTTTTCACAGAAATCGAAACATGTTACACCACCCTCTGTTGAGAAACTCAATGATTTGCCTTCACCAAGATGATGTATAATCATACTCCTTCTTCGAAATACAGAACAAGAAACCAGTGCACGGATACTTGGAAGGTATTTCACCTGGGTAGAAAGTTAGAATATATTGCAAATTTAAATGACCTAGCTATCTATAAGAAATCATTAATTCCTCTTCCAACCATTATGAAAGAGACAGATGAGAAATCGATGAAAAGGTCTCCGTTTTACAACATCCAATTGGTAAAGTATAAGGTAATGAAAAATATAACTTCGAATTAGCTAACCAATAAAATACGAGCATATTTTTCTAAAACCATGAGGAGAAAATCAATGCAATTTTAAAAAATAAATTTCTATATTACACATGGTGGGCAAAACCAGTAGAATTTTAAAAAGTGACTGCCAGGGCGTGATTTTGTCGCGCCCTTTTCTTCATGTTTTTTTAATAAATCGGCCATTTATGATTAAAAAAAGGCACCTAATAAACTATATATATATTCCCCAATAGATTCAATAAATTCTTAATTTATTAGATTAACATTTCCAGTTATTGTATTTTCATCTTATTCAGTAATTCGGAGGTGCGAGCCTTGATGCTCAGGAACTCCATTGCTCAAAGCAACACCTTTAGCTTTTTAACTTAAAGTTGGAGCAAATAATAAATAAAACATACCTTTACAACAGGGGAGAAATGGTTTTTCTCTGTGAAATTAATTTTCAATCCTAGCACTTGCTCCTTCTTTATGTTATCAATAGAAATTTTTCGTGGTCCGGAATGTTCCGCTCTTCTTCTGAGTTTTTGGAAGAAAATTGCACTCATAGTTATTACAAACACTTCTCCTGCAAAATCTCCACAAAACAACTCCTCGGAATTATGGCAACAGAGGCTAACAACAATGGATGATAACCAGAGAATAGATAGCTTATGCTCAAACCTAAAAATAGTAAGGTTTTAGTGCTCTGGGTGTACTCTGAAAATAAAGGCCCAGGGCATGAAAAAGTGGTGCTGCGGGAGGCCAAGGTCCTTCATAGACCGTAGGTGCGAGGAATGCAAAATATTGGGCGCAATACAGGGTATTCCAAAGGAACGTCTTTAGTATGAATTTTTAGAATCGTTATTAAAAATTAAGAAAGACACAACCAGGGTACGGTTTTAAAACTTTCTGTAATAAATTTCAATCTATCTTTGAGGTCTAAAGAAATCGTAATCTGTTTGAAGTCTGCCGATGGTAATCTGATTAATTTCTCATATAATATTAAAGCTCTTCCCCGAATTATTTCTTCAAGTGGTTTATTACTTGCGTTGAAAGAGTGTTCGAAGCTCAAAAAATAAGTTTTAGGATTCAGTTTTGAAATGCTTTTAATCAGGTTATCAGAGCTTCGCAACAATCGGCTTGACATAATAATTATATATTTTATTTAAAGTTTCTCTTCCATTACTTTCATTTTACTCTTGCGAGTCTTTTAATCATTTTTAGCTCTCTCAATCACGTTGTCAATCTGTCATTTAATAAAATTTCACTTCTAAATAAGCAGCTTCCTTTGTTTCTCGGACACCAGCATAAATACTAATACCACTTATATTTCAAGTCAGTCTATTTCAGTTGATTGATGATTCAGGGTAAAAGTTTGATACATGGTCTTGTCAATGTTCACTAATCATTTTATTTTCTGCTAACCAGTCAAGGAAAGCAAATGTAATGAATATCAAAACAGGATTAATTAGAAGTTGAAAGTTAAAGATCTTTCGAATAATCTCTTCGCCTTTCAACTCCTCTGTGTTTCATCCGACGATCAAACTTCTCTTCTTGTTTTTTACTTCATGTAATGTGATTTGTCAAACTTCGATAGCTTTTTAGTGCTTTCTTGGGCTTAAATATTAATCTACTTATTGCTTAAATATTGAACTTAAAAATGCATACTAAGAGAGCTCGTTACGAAACTTCCTGTGTATAGCTTGCATAATTGCTGTGTATCAAAATTGCATACCACATTTCTGGTTACTTTCTTTATTTTTGGATAATGTCAAACTAAAAGTTATAATTGTCTTCATCTAGTTTCATAAAAGTAAAACGCTATTACACTATTTTCCATTACATAAATACACTGTCTCTAAAATCTTTTACCTGCTTTATATATATTTTTTTAAAGCCAAAATTATGAGTTTTACCGGTAAGACCTAGAATTTACCAAACTCCAAAATTTTGATGGGTGTCTTGGTAACTCCAAAATTTTGCAGTAATAGCTTAATAATAAGCTGAAATGGAATCATATAAAAGCATACTTCGAACTTTTAAGAAGTTACTTAGGTAAAAGTTAGGTTTCACTGTTAAAACGTAAGATATACCAGACTTCAGGTCTTTAACGTAACATACAGTATGTCTCAAATAAAACGTAATCCAGAGAAGCAAAACATGGACAAAGGCGAAAAAAATGCTCATTGAACACAAATTACAAAAAATTTTGAATTCTTGTTATCTGAGAAATTTATTTTACAACCGCTGTTGAACAGCCGACCCAATTGTGAGCTAACGACTACCATTTTATTTTATTTTATAACTGTCGTTGAACAGCTGACCCAATTTTATGGGTTTACGACTACTAATGTTTAACTCCGTAGCCCTGTAATTTTGAAACCAATCCAGAAGATAAGGGAACTCCTGGATTGGGAGAAATTTGCCTTCGTAAGGGACTTTTTGACGGAGCTAACCCGCATCTGCGTTACATGGAGAGGAACACCAGGAGAACCTCCCACGGTTAGCCTGACGGCAAGGGGACTCTAACCCAAGATCCGTCTACCACTGAGGATAATTCACGTCAACACTGTGGTCGGTGCAAGCGGGATGCGGAATTCGTATCAACTGGGATTCGAACCCGGTTCGCTGCACTGGAAGGCGAACGCTGTATCCACTGAACCATCGCGGCTCTAACGACTACCATTGTTCAACTCCGTAGCCTTGTAATTTTGAACCCAATCCAGGAGACAAAGAAACTCTTGAATCAAGTATTGAGAGAATTTTATGCTCGCGGAGGACTTTTTGTTAAAAACTAACCGGCATTCGCGTTACATGGAGAGGAAAATCACGAAAAACTCCTATGGTTAGCCTGTCTGCCAGGGGGCTCTAGCCCAATAGGGACTCTACCACTGAGGATATTGTTGTGCCAACACTGTGGTCGGTGCGAGCCGGGTGTGGAATTCGTACCGACCAGCCATCACTTTGATTCGAACCCGGTCACCTCTCATTGGGAGGTGCGCTCTCAATCTCCTGAGCCACCAAAGCTCTGTAATCTCTCATTTGACGAATTAAGCACGCTTAACAAGATTATCGAAGATATGAACCAGCATTTGCAGGAAAATATTTTTGATCTCTTGTTCAATTTTCGCCTTTAGTTCGGCGTTAGATATAGGGCAATCTACGTACCCAACAGTTTTTAAATATCTCCATGGAAAATAGTTTGGAGGTGACAAGTCCAAATTTAGGAGAGACCACAGACCGTTGAAAATTAGGCTGTTCCCCCCAGAAAAAAAAACACTTCAAGGAAAGACATAGTTGATTCTGTATGGACAGTGGCTTTATCCTGCTGAAATCGTGGACATCCTTCTGAGCACATAGATATTGCACAAGCAATTGCTTTTCCTTAGATGGCGCTATTTCCTCACTTTTCGGAGGATGTGTTCTATTTGGGACATACTGAGCAAAATTATTAAAATAACATTGAAATCTTACTTATAAATGCTTGAACTGAAAAAGCGTATGTCCCCAGATGCTGTCGACACAGCTATCATTTTGTAGCGAGGAATACAAGCTAGACCTGTAGCCATCGGTGTCACATTACCTAAGTTTAGATGCAAAAAAGCTATAATTTTTATGGGAAATATACATTATGGGAATGAAAAAAGTATTAATTATATATTTAACCATATTTTACATATGAAAGCCTATTGTGATATAGACCAGAATTTTTTTTGTTTTTGTATTGCTTCGTTTTCTTAATTTATCGCAACAGCTATAGTGTAAAAAAAACACGTTTTTAAAAATGTTAAAATGTTATTCTTCTTCCCAATGAAATGAATTCACTGCTAAGTGCTAGATTCTTAAAATTTTTGAAGTCAAAATTCTGTTTTCTGTGGCTTAATTTTGTTAAAATTTGCCACTTTAATCTCTTCTCTTAATGAAACGGCTATAGCTAAGACAGATTATTCTTGAGTAGCCAAAAGCTGGCATAAAAAGTTCATACCCCTCTATCAGTTTTTATAAATAGCAGTTAAGATCATTAATAGCTGAAATAAGTAAATTATTTTTATAATTCTTATCATATTCGCTTCAAAAATTATAATAAAAATATTTTTGTGAAATAAATTCCAACTAAGGTTATAATTAAAGAGTTTATTGAAGAAGATTTTAAGTGACATTTTTGTTACTTTGAAGTTATCAGCTTTGGAAAACATACCAACAATTGGAAGATGTTTACAAAACACATTATTCTGTTAATATCCACCTTGTTCAAAATGACCTGGTAGATTTTTTTTTAAAAAGGGCAGCGAAACTTTTTAGTTTTTACTTTTATGCCCCTCTGGCACTCAACAATCTATTACGGGTGCTTTACTTTACTGTGATTGCCTCAATTAAGAGCTTCTTCAAAGGGTTATTTTATATAAGGTATATTTTATATTCTTCTTTGTCTACCAGCACTACAGTCAATTGCCAGCCATGACTGTTTCGAGAAGTTTTATCCATATTAATCAATTAGTGGCCTTCATGTTATTACCACCTTAAAATTGACGATTCATATAAAATATGAGTTTTTCTTAAAGTTCATATCTATACCTTTATAATTTTGATCCTATCTTAAGAACAAGGATATACAAAAGTACAAACTCATGCTGATGAATTTTTTTGACTCGCTATAACTTGCATTCACGTTACATGGAGATAAAACTTAACGAAACCTCTCATTGTTAGTTCGACAGCAAGAGGACATCACCCAATGATTCGTCTGTCAATGAAGATTTAGTGTAATAGCGCACAATTTTGTGTAATACAACATAACGCACAATATATCAAAAATTTTGGGGATTCAAATTTTTATTCTCTCTCTCTCTCTCTTACAGTACAGAGAAAGTATAAGGTAAATAGTATAGGAAAAAAGAAGAACGTTTCACTAGAAGTCTCTGAGTGAAAAGTAAAGTTATTTTACTTCGCCTAAAAAAATACCGAATAATATGCGAGTAATATAATGAAGAGTATATATAAAAAAATGAAGGATTTACAGTTATCTTTTAAAATGTCGTAATACGTACCATCATTGGAGACGGCAACAGACTTTTCAAAACGCTTTGTTAGATCTTTTCTCCATATACCAATCAAACCATCACGACTAAGTGATACATAATGCTCATTAACTTCGTCACTTGAATTTTCAGTGTCTGAATACAAAGTCCACTCAAATATAGTATCTTGGCTTCGGACACCGGAGTATATCATTGGTATGGGATTAAATAATTCTTCACCTGGAATTAATTTTAATGGCATTTTACAGTGTTCCCGCTAAAGTCCATTGACATTCCAATAATTTCTGAAAGCAAGATCTTTAGTAATCAAAATAGGGGCTAGATATTGTAAAGATGCCATGAGCTGCGCAAGGAAACAGCAGACAGCTCCGGAGTTAGCTTTCTTATCTCAAAAACGGTACGAGATATGGGAAAAAGTCAATTACTACGTTGTACAGCATCGTCGATTTAATGAGATAAGGCACCGTTCCCTTTGCATAGGATCAAAATTTTGATGGCATGTCTTCGGATCATCCTCAGGGATGCTCCCCAGATCGTCGCCAATAGCCCATTGTGCAGCTCTAGTGTGACGTAAATGAAATACAACAACAACATTGCTTGATATAAGGTGATAATTGGTAAGCGAGTGTGTAAAATTTGTTGTATGTATGTACGACTCGCATAAAAGTTCGCCAAAAGAATTTATTGAATTTACATTTAATCTACTTGAGCTTTATAATTATCCCCTCTAAATGGTTCTCTATCACTTTTTGATTGCCTAAAAGTGTTTGTCGATATAAAGATGCATATTAAAGTTCTTAACGATACATTTGTTTCTAAGCATCATATTTGGCTCAAAAAGTTAACATAGGATCTTATAAATTTTTTAAATACTAAACATAAAATCAACTAAAACATTTCGATAACATATTTAATTATTCAATAAGCGAATGTTTTGATACAATTAAGTTGTAGGCAATGGATCCAATCATCAAGTAATAATTATAAGATGGCAAACTTTAAAACCTGAAAAACTTTTATACTGAGGTGTTTTAGCAGATGTGTCTGTTGAAAGATATAATGATTAATACCATAAATTGAAAAAAGTACTCTTCCATTAAAAGGGGTCGTTATTTATGGTTAAATTTTTTCGCCAAATCAAACACCAAGCATACGAGTAATCAATCAATAATAATCGTTGCGATGTTTATTATCTTTAAAAATCGGATTAATCAAGAAATGCGAATATATATATATCAAAACAAACACTATTGAACAGTAAATTTAAATGTCTACAAACTGAAAACATTAATTTTATCTTATACTATTTAATATATTAACATGAACGTTTACTTTTTTGGTTACGGCGCTCCTCATAATATTGTAAGTAATTTTCAAGAGCAGTACAAGTTATGAAACCTTTACTATAAGGATCCAACTGATGGAATAAAATGTCAACATTTTTACTTTCAACCTCAATATTTAACTTCTCTCTTAAAATGTAGCTAAACTCATCCAAATGTATGCTTTTATCTGCAAGAAATGCATTCCGTATAGAATCACTTGGTTTTATTCTCAATAACTCAATCACTGGTTGAAAGTCCTTCATGTCAGAATTTTTTTTAATCAGTTTTGCTCAAGTTTCATCTCATCAGTTTATTTGGCTTACAACTCAAAAGAGGTTGAATTAAATTTTTTTTCTTTCATCAGTTTATTTTGCTTATAACTCAAAAGGAGTTAATTTCAATTTTTTTCTTTCATTTAAAGGCCATATCACACTTAAAGAAATTCGTCCAACTCAACCTTCAACTCAACCTCAACTTCAACTTTTCGTCCAACTTCGTCCGAAAACATAGGTGTGCTATACTTATCCGAGTTGGATCAACTACTATTGTTCAACTCTTTCAGATCTCTTCGAAAGAGTTGATTCAACTTCACAATTCAACCAATCAGGTGGCAGCAACCGCATGGGATTATGGGATAGCACAAGTCAAAACAATATGGCGGCAAAGTTTATGCGAAAAAGCAGCGAATCTAATTTGTTATATATTAATTCAGGTGAGTTTTTAATTGAGTATTGATTTTAAAGTTATTTTATAAGAAGTATAAATCTGTTTCTATCCATTAAAGAAGTTTATGTTATAAATGTGTTATGTTTTTAACCGTGAATTAAAAGTATGATTTTTTACGCCAAATTCGCCAATCTGAAGTAAATTTTGCAAGTACATAAAAGTAGTTTTGTTTTATATTTTGACATTACTTTAAANTCAGCCAACATCATGTAATACTCAGAAGAATTGCATCAGACAACTTCGTCATTGAGCGACGCAAGCGAATCGAGACGGGAAAACTCCCGAATTTATAATGAACTCTTAACTTTCGTCCATAGAACAATCTAATCTCGCATTCACATCCGATTTGGCGACCACTGCGAGAAGGCAGTTCTCACCAATCATGTCACTGTTAAACTTATTTTCTTTTATTTCCATTAAATGTTAAATTCGCTTATTAAATTATCGTTGCTATTTCAGCTTATGCTGCATAATCTCCTTCTTATATATATGTATTTAAATAACAAAAAATGAATAATGGAAACTTTTTAACATCTACATCCTACTTACCGTACAATATTTCCAATATTTCAATTAAGTAATGTTTTATTTCGTAGGGGGTTTTGTCCCTCAAACCCTCCCCAAAACTACGCCACTGCGCACTCTTTCAGTGGAACCTATTTTGACCCATTGTGTATAATTTGTCGTTAAAAAATTCCCTTGGTGCGATTGTTTAGTATTATAAATTATAATTTTGGCCAAATTAATTTAAAAATTATAAGTTAATATTAAAGAGAGAGAGAGATATGGGGTCATTTATATGCATAGCGTAGGAGCAAAAACAGTTTGGTTGAGTAGTTTTTACTTTTCTGAGCATTTTTAAATGAATTTAAATTTTTTTTGAAATGAAATCCTTTAAATAAGACATGAAATAAATAATTTTAAAACTAATAAAGAATAATTTTTTGTTATTTATTTCATTATTTGTTTTAGTGCTTTCAAATAATTAATAACACAAAACGTAGTAAAACACATTTTTTAGCATTTAAAATCAAATCATATTTTTTTTTGGAAGACATATCGTTATTCAATGCAACCAAACACATTTAAATTTCTAGACCTTAAACCTCTCTCAATGATTTACTCAATTTTCACAAGAGGGCGCTTTATCCAATCTTCCACGAAATTGTAAGTTTAAGTTTTGCCAGTCTGAATAAGAGCCATTTTGAAAGTTTTAATTTCTACAATTATTTTGTGTTAGGCAACAGCGGCTCAGTTTTCCAAAATTCGCAAGTCAATGGTGTTTGGAGTGAAGTTGACAAATAAGTAGAAATTATCAACCTTTCAATAAATTTTGTAAGGTCAGCTCATCAAAAACACTGAAGATGAATATAACATCTGCTGGTAAATATAAATAGTATTATTTGTGAACTGAAGGAATATCGAAATTTCCTAATTGGTCATAATAATTTGAGTGTATACTGAATAGATAATTTGTTATTTGTCCTATATCCAATTAAAGCTCAGGGGTCTGTCTAGGTTTTTCTGAGAGGTACCTATTTTGTGAAAATTTAGACATAATTTGTGAAAAATTAAAAATTATATTAAAAAATCAACACAAAAATATGGTAAAAATATGAATTTATCGTGTCTTAAGGGATACAAAAATAAAATTTTAAGAAAAGTATTTTGTGAAACTACCGTTTTTCCTAAAGTTGATTTTGTGAAACTACCGTTTTTCCTAAAATTGAATTTGTGAAGGTACCGCTAAACGGTAGTAAATTCGGCCTGGAGAGACCCCTGCTTTATGACATTAAATAACTTGAACTTGTTTCTTAGCAATCTTTGATTTTCTATTAAAAAGTTAATGTAGTTCTTCATAACATTAAAAACTTCTTGTTATATTTTTTGATAGAAGATTCATCTCATTGTATTCTCAGGTTACATTTTGATTGTTTTGTTTGGATTGAAAAATATTCGACTTCTTTGAAAAACCTTTTTTTTTTTTCAAACGTGATCAATTTTCACTTCTGTGTTTCTTTGTATCATGTCACTGTCAGAGAAAAAGTTTGAGATATTTGTTTTGTATCATAGAAAATATCCTAATACTCAAAAGACCAGTGGAATCCTTTATAAATGATACATAGTCTTAAGTCATAAATCATGTACTTTATCGAGTTTTCTAATCTTGCATACCATAGTTTTTTTTTATAAGCAGACATTATTTTTTAACAATGGCCTTTATCTAAATATAAAATGTCATTTTCGAAATCAAGGCAATTTTTAAGAGAAAAATCATCAATGATTATAGAATGCAAGTTGTTGTTGAATGTTTATATAAGCAAATCATAAATATATATATGTTTGGTAAAATATTTATTCTCCACACTAAGGATTGTGAGCAAGTATTGTTATATTCTCCATATTGATTTAATTTTATTGTTATTATACGTAAAAATATCTTAACGAATGATGTTTGATTTTTTTTGGTGTAAAAAGACTGACATTTTACATTATAACATTCCTATTTTAATTCATTGATTATCTATACATAATAATAAACGCGGCTGTGTGTGTGTGTGTCTGTAATCACAATATATCGCCCCAGAAGCCTCGCCCGGGCACGAAACTCGGCCCATAATTGTGTTTTGACATTATGAAGAAGTATTTTTTTTCTTTTTCAAAAATTTTGATTAGTTATTTAGTTATCAGTCATTTTGTAAGTCTATGCTTTTCGTCTGCTTTTTCGTCTTCAAAGAGCCATATTCAAAAAACTATTAAAAAATGCATATACTTTTCCCCACTCTTATAAATGTATGCTAATGCGAACCTTACAATTGAAATATTAATTTTCGACAACTTAAACCAATAATATACGAAGGAATTAATAATTTAATTGTAAAGTTCGCATTAGTTTACATTTATTAAAGTGGAGAAAAGTTTAACTTTTGTATTAAAAATGTGGCAACATATTCGATACGTAAATAGAACGCTTCGCTTTGATATATTTGTCGCTGTTCATAATTGTTATAATAAGTTTTTCTTCTTCTTTCCACGCTCTTTTTTTTTTTTCTTAAGCGAAGACGATAATTTTTATAGCGATATTGTAGTACTTTGTACAACTAAAAATTCTTTTCACAACACTTTAAAAATATTTACTTTATTTTCTTTATATATACAGAGAACAGTCGGCAAAGAATTCGATTAGGTTGAAAAACATTTCGCTAAAAAGGAACGAATTCCAAAAGAAAAAATAAACAACTTAAAGAATAAAAATGCTGATGCCAGCCAATTTTTTGAAAGTTAACTTAGAAATAACAAACCAAACGATGTTAAATAACAAACCAAACGATGTTAACAAAATGACGTAGAAAGCGCAACTAGATCAAAATTATACAAGCACAACTAGATCAAATTATAATACCTGAGTGCTTGACGTAACAGATATAGAAATAGAATTTGATACCATAAAAAATTATATAGAAATAGAAATTGATACCATAAAAAATTTATTCGTTTTCGTGTTCTTTTCATGTATTTAGCATTTTAGTTTTTTTTTTCTTAAGCGTTGTAGCTATATAATTTCAAACATCCTCAAGAGCTATAACACATCTGCAGCAGAACTGGATATGAAGACAAAATTGCTGGACAGGAACACTTTAATTGTCCACTAATCTTCAGATTTCCTGCTATGTTTTAAAAAACTTTATTTGTGAAAACCTTCAGCGTGGCGGACAGCTGGCCGCCTTAGGCGGCTAGTTTAGAATAAAAAAGAAAATTTCTGTTTCTTTTACTTTACTCATAAATTCCAATATTTAGTGAATATGTGTTAGAGATGTTATTAGAAAAAATGAAGTATGAAAAATCTTCGTGAACTTTTTAAGGGCAATAAACACTCAATATATTTATAATGTTTTAATATCAGGATGATTTTTCTTTTTAAATTATGAGGTACACGGTCAATGACTATAACCAATATTTATTAATTTGTTTGCTTGTATTAGAAAAATTAAAATACTTAATTTTTATTTAATTTGTATTTTTATAAAAAATTCTTAAAATGAAACCCTTAAAAATAATTGTTTTATTTATCAAAATTTATCATTCTTATGTGGGGCCAGGATAGCCTGGTCGGTAGGGCGCTGGGCCCACGGCTGAAGACTCCCCTTGTAGTAAAATGGTGACTGATGCACGTTAAATCTGTCGTGTCGCAAAGTCCTCCATGTTCCCATAACAAATCAATACCTCTGTGGGTACTGAATTGGAGAATGATCATTCTCTGATTCAGGTCAAAATTACATTTTGTGGATGTATGAATGGGTCCGCCCTATAAACGGGCATGACGCATGGTGTGGCAGACGTCGAATTCTTGGCCATAGATGGCGCCACTTGAAAAACAAGAGCAATCTCACTCCTCTGCCTTCTCCGGCATACGAAAGAGAGAGAGCGAGATATCTTTCTTATGTTTGCGTTTGAAAAATAAAAATGTTTATTACGTTTGTAACTATTTTTGTAATTTTTAAGCACAATATTTATAATGTTCTCTAAGTTCTTTTCAAATGATATCTTTTCTATTGTGGCAATGGAACAATTTTTGTATTGATATCACTGCAAAAATTTGTAGAGAGTTCTGAGAAACAAAAACTATTAAAGAAAAAAACATCTTAGAATCTAGCAAGCCACTATAAATATTTTTTTATTTTTTTTAAATAGATCCAAATGCATAACAAGGCAGAAAATTGATTTTAGTTAGTTTAAATAGGTGTCAATAAGTTTTTTTAAAATGTTTTCTGAATGTAGTTTCAATAGAAATAGAGTATCATATTTACTTTATTAAAAATTATTTTAGAAGTTCTTAATTTTTCTTGTATGGTAATTTGTTTTCTTTAAATTAGGTGGCATACTTGCTCTTCTTGATGAAAATCAAGCAGAAGTACATGATTTTGCTTTGAAGAAGCTTAATAGTATAGTTGATGTCTTTTGGCCAGAGATATCAGAAGCAATTCAAAAAATGTAAGCTTTATTATATTTATTGCTTATTTTCTTGTATAAAATACGTTTACAGCATTTGTATTCTTTGAAGGTTTAAACAGAATAAACAGGAAACTTTTCAACTACTTTTTCAGGAACATATTTTTTTTATCTTTCTTTTCTATAAAAATTATGTCTAGCAGTTGTTATGCAATCTAAAAGCTTTTTAAACAACTTATTTTATCGTGTAATTTAACTAACCCTATCTATTTGGATTTTATTTATTTGTTTAAATAAAGTACATAAATACATTCACAATTTGCTATGTATTTTTCATAAATATACCTTGAAATATTTATTACCTAGATTTTTTTTTCTTCATAAAATCCAGTGTTAAATTTTTTAGAGTAAAATTTTATAAACTAATTAACTAATTAATGTTGTGAAGTAATTGCAAAATGTTTTTTAAATAATTAAATAAATATTTAGCTGAATTATATATTTTCAGATTATTAACAGTATTTTTAAATTTATTGTTTGTATATTTGATGTTATTTTTATGCACTAATTTTAACTTTTATAGACCTATTTTAATTTTTTGGATAATTTAATTTTTAATTAGACCATGCTGTAATAACAAATTTAATGAATTGTAGTTAAAGTTTCTTTTTATTTTATTTATATCTAAAATAAAAGGGAAATTTTAATTAAAATTTTTTAAAGGGATTTTTATATTTAATTTAATTTTTACATCTGACTTAATTATAACATTGTTTAAATTTGTTATGTTGATTATGTTATGTTATTCATTCGAGTTTGTCTTGTCTTTTAATAGTTTTGGATTTTAGTAATACAGCATTTATGCAATCTAATAGTAAAATTAGGAAACATGTTCTATATTTATATAAATGGCATATTGGTGTCACAATTGTTACAGTCCCTTAAGATTGAATTTGCACTAAAAAACTAGTTTTGGATATAACTGTGCAGGCTTCTCTGAAGTTATTTTTCTTACAAAATTTTAGACTTTAGTAATTGTACGGTTATTCACATTTTGAGATAGATACATGAGTGGTCAATCCAAGACAACTAAAATTGTGTTCGAACTACCACGAAATAAATTTTTACTGATCCCTGGGACAAGTAATTTGTTAAAATTTGTAATTTGAATAAATGTACATTTGCTATTTTCGTTTTTTGATTTAGTGTTTTGGACACAAAATAGCATATTTCATCATAACTGCGAATGTTACTCAGTCTGTATATTATAATTTTACATTAAAATTCTTTTTTTTTTTTAAAGAAACTGATAGAGATAAGTAAATTGTACAGTAAGAATGTTCATAGAGAAGTAATTTGAATTTTCTTAATTTCTAAACTTTTTACTTTTACATTGACCTAATTCATCTATATTTTGAAAGGAAAGTTAGTTGAACAACTTTGCTCTTTTTTTTTTTTTTTGTTGATGAAATAAGCAAAATTATATTTATAATCACTAATAGAAAGGATTTGCAGAACTGGTTGAAATTTTAATGCTGTTAAAGCTAATGAACACAAATACTGTTAACCCTATCATAATTTTATAATAATTTTAACATTAATGTAATAACTTTCACTTTAACATTGAACCAAAAGTAGTTTCAATTTTTTTAAAATAGCTATTATTTCATTTTAATTAAGGAGTAAATTTGTTTTTATTTGGAAAATATGCTGAATTTTATTTAATGATTTCAGAGAAGTGTTATATGAAGATGAAGTATTCAGCAGCCGTCGGCTTGCAGCTCTTGTTGCTTCAAAGGTAATTTGAATTTCAGCATTACAATTTACAAGAACTGTATTATTTGTATGATTTTATTATGCTTAAAGTATTCATCTTAATATAAATGTATGTTTTATTAATCTTATTTTTACAAGACTTCTTAAACTATTTCTGCAAGTTTTTGACGATTAGAGGTCTTAATGATGTTCTTTTTTTTTATATAGAAAAATACTTATAATTATCTATTTTTTTAGAAATTTGAAGAAAAAAAATGTAAATCAGCTCCATTTTGAAACATAATTCAGAAAAAGCTTTTTGCTTGATACAATTAGCATGTTTTTTTTAATGAATTTTTAGTACACGTATAATGCTATTATTTGCATTTGGCTGCTTTTTACATCTACTAAGTATGAATCTTTTTCTCCTCCAACAGGTTTATTATCATTTAGGCTCATTTGAAGATTCTCTTACCTATGCTTTAGGAGCTGGGGAGCTATTTGATGTAAACCATTCTTCAGAATATGTAGAAACAATAATTTGTAAGTATTTATTTCCTTTTTTTTTGTTTGTTTTTTTGGTCATTGAAAAAAAAATTTTTTCTATCAAAAACTTTTAAGAATTTTAATTTTATTGCTAATGCTATAGATTTTACTTTGATATTGCTTGGCTTATTATCTTTTTGTTTCATGAAATTTTACTCTTATTTTAGTATAACTGAAAAATTCTTGAATCATAGTAATTGATTTCTGCAAGTGCAAATTGAAATTTACTAACACAGCAGAATATTTAAAAATATGGTAACAATCAACTTTAAAAATATGAAAATTAATAAGAAAGAACTTCAATTATCTGATATTATACTTTCTAAACTTTTACATGATTGGTTTCTCTTTAAAAAAAAAAATCGATTTAAATCTGGCTGATTTATATCATCAAATCCTGATATAACTAGTTAAACTTTACCCAAATGCATTGATTATTATATAAAAACTTATTATCCTTTATAACTATTATGTCAGTATGAACTAAAGTCCAAGGAAATAATAGATTAACAAAACAAAGCTATGTAATTTCATGCTGTAAATAGCACTATAAATTTGCATCATAAATTTAACAATTGTTGATATTGCCTATAATTTTTTTAATTTTTTTGTTATTAATATTTTTTCTTATGTATTTTAGCTAAATGCATTGATCATTATACGAAACTCAGAGTTCACAATGCAGAAAGCAGTGAAAGGAAAGTTATTGATGCACGCCTAGAATCCATTGTTAATCGCATGTTTCAACGATGTTTCCAAGACGGGCAATACAAACAGGCTGTTGGCATTGCCTTGGAAACACGCCGTATGGACATCTTCGAATCAGCTATTATGCAGTCTGTAAGTTAAATGAAAAAATCGTAGTTTAAAACTGTAGCTAAGTAGTTGTGCTCATTGCATTGCTATTATTGTGTTGTTTAGCCATAAACTAATATAATTTTACTGTAAAATATTTCCCACTTCTATAGTTAGTTTTTTCTTTCAGGATGATGTCGTAGGTATGTTATCTTATAGTTTCAAAGTAACAATGTCATTGATTCAAAATCGGATGTACAGAAATCTCGTTCTACAGACATTAGTCAGCCTATATAGAAATTTGGAAACACCTGATTATGTTAACATGTGTCAAGTAAGTAAACAGTATTTTTTTCCTCATATTTTCAGCGTGAATGTTTGTTCCTACTTTGTTATATCTACGGCTTTTTTCTCAAATTTGCTCCTCTCTTTTTAGTGCCTGATATTTATTGATGATGCTCAAGCAGTTGCAGATGTCCTGGAAAAGCTATGTAAAGGAAATGAGGTGCATATTTTTGTATATAAAATTAAATTTGCATTCACAGGTTATATCCTGCTAAGCATTTAATTTAAATTATTTCATTGCATAAATTAATGGAACTGTGATAGTACACATTAAGTAATCTAATGTAAGTTTTTTTTCTTAGTTTTAAATTACATATCTTTTGCTTCTGTTTAAAAAACATTTCACTAAATCGGCCAAATACTTTCGAATTTTTCTCTTACTGCTCTCTAAGTTGGCAACTCTCATGTGGCAAAGCACATAGCTCAATTTTTGGGGCTCTACCTTTTATTAGTCATGGTAGGAGTGCTATGTACTTTTGACTCTGATTAGACAATGTGGACTGTACCTAAACTATTTCAGTTACAACAGATTTAATGTGCACCTTGCTGCGTATACACACCAGTTGTTTTGTCGATTGTTAGGACCGAACTCACAGCCCAACTCTCCAACCAATAGATTGAACGATGCCTTAACTTACTGCGCCACTCGAGTGCTAGATACTTTGAAATAAAAAATTCCACACTCTTTCTATATCTTTGTAATTATAATTTATTATGGGATACTTTTGATTTAATGGCCACATGTGAAGTTGTAAAAGGTTCATATTAACTCACCCATATTCTCACAAAAATGTAGTATTGTTTACCAAGTTATTTAAAGTATTTTCTTGTTCATATACAGGGGTCTGTCCAGGCCAAATTTACTACCATTTAGCGGTACCTTCACAAATTCAACTTTAAAAAAAAAAAAAAAAAAAAACGGTAGTTTCACAAAATACTCTTTCTTAAAATTTTATTTTTTTATCCTGTAAGGAACAATAAATCCATATTTTTGTGTTGATTTTTTAATATAATTATTTTTAATATTCACAAATTATGTCTAAACAAATTATCTCTCAGAAGAATCTAGACAGACCCCCTGATATATTTACCAGCCAGTGAATACCATCTCTTTGAGGTTATCCATTGTTCTTATGATATTTGTGTACTTCTTAATATTTTGACCGATGTCCATTTAAAAAAAAAAAAAGAACTGAATGCAACATAAGAAGATAAATTTTTGAAATAATAGTTATTAATAACGTAAAAGTTTTTAACTAGAGCTTCATTAGTCATTTTAAGCTGTGTGCGTTACTTAGGCAACAACCATATAAGACAATTTTATAGCTGATTTTTTTTTCTATTTCATTGTGTGTACTAAGAAATTTGTTCACTTTGATGAAATATTTTTGTCTCTATAAGTATTGCCTTATAGCTTTAATGTAAAAAATGAATTTGTGAAAAACGAAACAAAAGAATTTTGGAAAAGCTTAAATAAATAACATTTTGTTTAAAATTTTATATTACAACTAATCTTATTATTTAATAAGAGAAGCTTAATCAATTGTCTTTTTTATTAGCAAAATTGGGATTTGTCTTTTTTTTTGTTATAAAAATTTCTTTTTTATACTTTTAGGAATCGTCATTAATGGCATTTCAAATTGCCTTTGATTTGTATGAAAGTGCAACTCAACAGTTTTTAGGACGTGTCTTACAAGCATTAAAAGCCACTGCACCAATTCCCTCCAACTTGATATCGATACTCTCAAAACCTGAAGAGAAGTCAGAAGGGTAAATAAAAATATTATGATTCAAATGTTAATTTCATTAATTATTTATGTTTAGGACTAAACTTTCAGATCTTACCTAATTACTGATTAATTTTTGGGCCTTGTGTCATTAAACAACTCATATAATTCAATTCACTTCAATCCAATTACTAATCTAACGATGACTCTAAAATTTGATTGCTAGACAACAATAATAGATATGTTTAAGCTGGTGTCTCTTTGCTTACCTACCTACTGAAAGATTTATCATTGATTGACCAATTGCTGGTATTAAAAATTTAGAATCCGTTTCATTTAAAAGTAAAATAGTTTAAATAACTGATTGATTATAAAAAAATTCAATCAAAATAAATTTCTAAATATTGTGGCACTTTTAAATTATACGCCCGGTGGCTGAGTGGTAGCGCTTCGCGCTGCCGTGCCACAGGTCCTTGGTTCGATCCTTGGGCCGGGCAAGGCCGACTCAGCCTTTCATCCCTTCAGTAGGTCGATAAAATGAGTACCAAGCATGCTTGGGAACTAACACTGGGGATTCCGCGTTCGGCTGACCACCTGACCGGAACATATGCTCCTGCACCCCAGAGCCCAAGGTCAAGAAAACTGAGATGGGCACAGTCGACCTTGGCCCTCTTAATGGGCTGTCGCGCCACTGAGTTAGTTAGTTAGTTAAATTATAAATTGTGGTAATTTTTAAATAATATGTGGTGATTTTTTGCTATCTTTTTTTCTTTTAATAGGGAAAATATGGAAACAGATGCGCCTCCTAAAGAGACTCCTCCAGCACAGCCTAAAATGGAAGATTTGGTATGTTTTTTTTAAAGCATTTAATCAAACTTTTAGTTTTTGTTTAGTTGAATAGCATGATTAAGGAAAATATATAAATCATCATCTATAATCTGTAACTATTATTTTAATGATCTAGACGTAAACAGTATAATTCTTCTTAATTTAAAATGCTCTTAACTGTGTTCTTAGAGGTAGAAAAAATATTCTCTAACCTACAAATCCTACTTGAGTTCTTTAACAAATTTAAATGTTTATCTTTAAAATAATTAATGTTTAAATGATATTTGATCTATAACATTAATGCATATTAGATGGTGTTTTTTTAAAATAATGCAATTAGAATAAATTTTGGTGGATATTTCCATATTGATATGTACTAACTACAACCGCTATTGCATCTAACGGTTTTTGAACTTGCAAAAATGTTTAAAGAAATGTGATTTGCTCAATGGTGGCTTCCAATTATAACCTTCGAGTTGGTGCCCTTAAAGTGATGATGCCACTACCCAAAAATCACAAATCTTGTTTATTATTTTACCACAAATACCAATTCATAGGAAAATCTTCCCAAATTTTTTAATCAGTCTAAATTTGTTTACTTGATATCCTTACTGTTTTGTTTACTAAATTTGTTTACTTGTATCCTTACTGTTTTGTAATTTTCCTTACCGTTTCCTCTTTTTAGAATGAGGAGCAAAAGTGCCATCAAGAACGAATTGAAAAACTGGCCACACGATGTTTC